TCCTCTTAGGATATCATCCTCTTCAGCCCTTTCCTGAAAAGAGAGATATTTTAGAGAAAGACCAGAGTGAATGTTTCAGTGTGTTTTTCTTGGAAGAAAATCTAACATCATCCTTGTTAGGACAAACTAATTGATTTTTGGCCCACTTCCCTGTTTGAGCGTGAGCGTTCCGTGTGTCACCATCTCCGCCTCCCCTCCGTGTTTTAGCCCTTTGTGTAAACCCCCTGTTTGCTTCTTGGCAATTATGTCTGTCTGGAGGAATGTAGGAAATTGTACTACTGTATTGTCCTCGATCTATATGCAGACTTATTTACCCCCTCCAAATTGCTTATGCAAATGTGTAGATAAGAAAATGTGTAGCGTGGTTCTTCTTCATGAATGTTGATGGGTTTCTAGTAGCAAGAAGCTTCTCTCCTCTGCAGCTGAAGCAGCTGTAAACTTACTACAGGAGATAATTGAAAGAAAATTCCTGTTCCTATCCACTCTTGGGAGCTGTAAGAGCAAAGGGAAGCATTAGCCATGCTCTGATGCTCCCAGGTAACTTGGTTCTCCATTGTAGCCTTGGCTCCTCATTGCCTTTGCAGGCTGTAGGTTAGTTCTGCTACAGGCTGTTTGAGGGACTGGCTGTGTCCATGGACAGCACAACCACAGGCAGGTAGCTCTGTCAGCTGGGAGGAGTGGCTGATGCCAGAAGGCTGTGCTGCCATCCAGAGTGAACTGGGCTCTCCAGTTCAAGAGACAGGGAGCTACTGGGGAGAGTCCAGTGCAGGGCCACTGAGACCATTAAGGGAATGGAGTATCTCCCTTATGAGGAAAGGCTGAGGGAGCTGGGTCTCCTTAGCCTGGAGGAAAGGAGGCTGAGGGGTGACCTCATTGATGTCTATAAATATGGAAAGGGCAAGTTTGGGGAGGACAGAGCCAGGCTCTTCTCAGTGACATCCAGTGACAGGACTAGGGGCAATGGGTACAAGCTGGATCATAGGAGGTTTTGGGTAAACATAAGGAAAAACTGTTTCTTGGTGAGGGTGACAGAGCACTGGAACAGGCTGCCCAGAGAGGTTCTGGAGTCTCCTTCTCTGGAGACATTCAAAACCCACCTGCACACATTCCTGTGTGACCTTCTCTAGGTGATCCTGCCAGGGGAGTTGGACTAGATTATGTTTCCAACCCCTAATGTTCTGTGACTCTGTGGCTCCCCTGGCTCCATCCATGCCATTCCTGGCAGAGGTGTGCAGGCCCTTGACAGATGTCCCCAGTGGTGGTCCACCATCACACCTAGATCTGCTTTGCTGGCTCCAAAGCCATGACAAGTTTCCCCTCGTTTCCTTTGCCTCTCATTTCCATGGCCTGCTCAGGGCAGAGCTCCTCACCCTGGCTCCGTAGGATCTGCCAAAATGAGGCAGGTTTTGCATTGCTGTGCCCTGGGGCCACGTCTGGAGGGAGCAATTGGTGGTGGGACCATGGGGACCAGAGCCTGGGGACCTTGGGAATGTGAGTTCTGAGGGGAAGGTGTGTGCTGGCTCCTGGGTCATCTTCCTGCTTGAGTGAAGTTTGCCTTTCCAGACAACACAGCCTGGCTTCAGAGCAGGCTGAAGGAGCTTTATTACTTTTTTTTTTATGATGCTAGCTTTAAAAAGGAAACCAAGGGAAGGGTTTCAGTCATTTGTCTTTTGTGGATGCATTTATCACCTGAAAAGACTTAACCAGGTGGTGGAAAACTCCATAAGATACCTGACAGCATCAGTCTGAAGTAACGCCCATGTTTGGCATTAGCTTCCCTGTTAGATGGATGTTGTCAAACTATTTTTGAGCCTTAAAGCCTTTGTTATCTCTGGAATAATCACAAAATTGTTAAAATCCAATCTGTAAATCTTGTGGGCCGTTGAGGCCACTCTCCCCCACCCCATGTTTCTCTGGTTTTTATTCCTCAGCAGAAGTAATTGCTTTCCATGACACACTTAAAGGATTGCTCCCATTTCTTCGTGTTTTATGGCCATGCTATTGCAGCACTAAAAATGTTTAATATTCTTTAATCTGCTTTTGTAATGAATCCCAGGCAGCCCTCAGCTGGAATAGCTGCCTTGGGTCAGGAGCTGCACACTCAGGTGGGGTCACAATTCCACAGCCTTTAAAACCTCACCTTGGTGACCTAGCTGGAGTCCAGGATGTGGAGCAACAGGAGGCCTGTCCCACACAGGAGTGGTTTTGTCCCTGGGGAAGAGAACATAGTGCTGGATGTGAGGGGGAGAGAGTGATGAAGGGAGGAGAGGGCAGAGGTCCTTCCCTGCCACTCACCAGGCCACTTCTCAGCATCCTGCCTTGCTCAGGAGCACAGCCCAAAAGCTGGTGGGTCTGGGCAGGTTGCCTTGGGGCCAGCTAACCTGCTTGAGGCTCTACAGGGGGAGCTGGCCAGGCTGGATCGATGGGATGAGGCTCAAAAAGGCCAAGTGCTGGGTCCTTCACTTGGGTCACAACCAGCCCCTGCAATGCTCCAGACCTGGGGAGGAGGGGCTGGAAACTGCCTGGCAGAAAAGGTCCTGGGGGTGTTGGTCAACAGCCAGCTGAAGATGAGGCAGCGTGTGCCCAGGTGGCCAAGAAGGCCACCAGCACCCTGGCTTGTGTCTGTGGTAGCGCATGGCCAACAGAACTAGAGATGTGATGCTGCCCCTGTGCTCAGCACTGGTGAGGCCCCACCTTGAATCCTGGATTCAGTTTTGGGCCCCTCACTCCAAGAAGGACATTGAGGGGTTGGAGTGTGTCCAAAATAGGACAATGAAGGTGTGGAAGGGTCTAGAGAACAAGTCTTGTGAGGAACACCTCAGGGTGTTAAGCCTGGAGAAAAGGATCATGTCCCTTGGGGTTTTTTTTGTCCTTACTTTGAGAATTTACTGAGTGTTGGTTCGTTTGAGGAGGAGCAGGGAATCATAGAATCACTGTGGTTGGAAAGGACCTCTTGGATCATCAAGTCCAACCTCCTTTCCAACATTTCCCTTTCCACTAGACCATGGCCTCAAGTGTTGCATCTACTCATTTTTTGAACCCCTCCAGGGATGGTGACTCCAACACCTCCCTGGGCAGCCCGTTCCAGTGCCTCACCACTCTCTCAGGGAAGAAATTCTTCCTAATATCCAATGGAAACCTCCCCTGACACAACTTGAGGCCATTTCCTCTTGTTCTATCATCAGTAATTTGGGAGAAGCGACCAACACCAGCCTCACTCCAACCTCCTTTTAGGTAGTTGTAGAGAGCAATGAGGTCTCCTCCAGACTAAGCAACCCCAGTTCCCTCAGCTGTTCTTCCTAAGGCATGTTTTCCAGCCCTCTCACCAGCCCCATTGCCCTTCTCTGGACCCTCTCCAGCACCTCCATGTCCTTCTTATCCTGTGGTGCCCCAAACTGGACCCAGGACTCCAGCTGTGGTCTCACCAGTGCCAAATCCAGGGGCACCATCACCTCCCTGCTCCTGCTGCTCACACCATTTCTGCTCCAGGCCAGGATGCCGTTGGTAGCCCTACACACGGTGTGAACTTGCCACCTGGCACCTCCACATGTGTTGGGAGGGAAGCTGAGGTCTCCTGAACCTGGATGCTCTTTGGGACCTGCTGCTTTACAGGTGATGGGTTGTCTCCTCTGCTTCACTGGTGGCCATGCATGCTGGAAAGGACAAGTGGCCTTGCTGAAGCGTGGCCTCTGGGTCAGCCTGTGAAGAATGAGCGTTGGGCAGGTTACCTGTGGTGAGGCTTGTTGCCCACCACGCTGGCTGCAGCCTCCCAGCCCACTCTGAGCAGGGGAGGAGCTCCTACAAGAGTCCTCCTGCAGTGACGCCGCCAGCGGGGGATGAGCGTTAGCAATGTTTGAGTGCAAAATTTTGCTGGTCTCAGCAGTTTCCCCAACCAAAAAAGCTTTTAGCTCTTGGGCAGGGAGTCAAGTGCCATTCTAAATGCACAGCCATCAGGTTTCTGAAAAAAAATCCAGGGAGTCAGTCTGTTTTCGCTCTTTTTTTTTTTGGATGAAGTGCATAAGAAGCTCTTAGCTCAGAGAAATCCTAATTGAGGCTTCAGTCGAGGCTGTTGCTAAATTAGCAGAGCAGGTCTGCTAGACAAATGCAGCTTCAGCTTGTCAAAATAAGCAAGTCTTAAAATTCTCACGTGGAAAAGAGGATTCATGTCATTAAACCTCTTTAGCTTCTCCTGTTCCCAAACACAGCCCCTTTCAAGAGTCACCCAGATCCATCCCAGTCACTGCAGCCCGTGGCTGTGGTGTTGCTCCTGCACCATTTTGCCAGGCCCTGGATGCTCTGGAATTGTTGTTGCATCCTTTGAACCTGGGCTTTGGATATAACTTAGGAAAGGTCATTTCATTGAGGTGTACCTTGGTGGAGCATTACTTTCAGACTTAGGTATTTCCTCTTCCAGTTCTCCAAACCAGGGTCTTTCAGGTGTAAGTGATGTCTGTCAAGTGCAGCCACATCTGGGAAGGCTTTGGGCTGCACCATGGAAGAGAAGAGTTCCTCCTGGCAAAGTGGGGCTGAAGTCATGGTAGGGTCCAGTAGAATCATAGAATTGTTTTGGTTGGAAGAGACCTTTCAGATCATCCAGTCCAGCTGTTCCCCAGCACTGCCAGGTCCCCACTGACCCCTGTTAACACATCTGTCCTCAAACCCCGTGGGCGAGCCGTGGCTCAGAAACACTTCAGTTCTGGGTCTTTGAAGTTCTGAGTCAAAGAATCTGAATTTCTGATTCAGAGAATCCAAATTTCTGACTCAATTTTTTTTTTGTAAAAACCATAATTCCTTTTTTCCCTATTAAAGCAGTTCTACATGAACTTCTGGCTGGAAGTTACCGTTGACTTTACCCTGGACCTTAACGTGGCTAGAAAACCCCAAACAACCTCCGAGCTGGGTAACCAGTGCCATAAGCACCCAGCTCAGCTGAGCCTGACCCTGTTCTGTGCTCCTCCCCACGGTTCCCTGGCTGATGACCACCTTTCTTCTCCTTGCAGTTCAAGGTGGAGGGCGAGTGGTGGACGTGGATCGACTACGAGCGCTTCCAGGAGCTGGTGCGGGAGCGCGGGGGGAGCGGCGGCTCCGCGCCCTTCGCCGCGGCAGACTACATGGCCAGGACCCCTGGCTGGGCTCTCTTTGGGGCCAGGGAGAGGGGATTCGACCCCCAGGAGCTCAGGCACCAGCGGAGGAACAAAGCGAGGGACGTCTCCGGGTGCTGAGGTCGGCCTGGGGCTGGCTGAGCTCTGCTGCTGAGCTGTGCTCTCCGTTTTGAAGCTCACGTCGATTTGTTTGAATCTGTTCACCCGAATTTTTCTGCTGTTTGATGTTGAGGAGGGTGAAGGGTTTAAGCCTTCCCTTCTGTTTTAAGGGCTTCTTGGATGAAGATATTTACTATGCTCTCCAGCTCAAGATCGATCACAACTGGTGTGTGCCAGCAGTTCGTGGTAGCTGGCAGTGTGATGGGGAGGGCAGTGGCTGTGGTCTCCTCAGTGGGCAGTGTTTGGAGCTGGATGTGGAAGCAGAGCTTTCATTTGACTTCTGTGCCCTGCTGTGAGGAGGTCCTGGCACATCCTGGCACCCAGCTCAATGGCCAAATGTTCCATGTCCATGGGGATAAGTGCCAAGGGGATTTCAACACCGCAGGCAGGTTGGATCTGTGCAGGTAGGACCATAAATGGATCTAAAAGCCTGAGTCCTGCTGGAAGTATCACTGTACAGTGACAAACACTGGTGCCAAATCCTATGAAGACCCCAACCCCAAGAAGCTGGAGCTTGGGGATGGTGTAAGTGACATCTCTGCTCTGAATATTGCCTGCAGCTTCTGATGATCATCTGCAGCTTCTGGCATCTCTCCAAATATCTTCCAGCTTCGTGGGTTTGGCAATGAATGTTTCCCCAGTAGTTTTATCCCACTTCTCCAGCAGCCCTAAACAAACAGATATGACTCTTCAAAGCCCTGCTAGGCTCCTGCTGCTGGTGAGGAGGTGCTGTGGGGAGCCAGCAGGCTCAGGCATCAGCAGATGGTGCCCAGTGTCACTGCTGCTTTGGGTGGAGCTGGTAACCTGATGTGAATGGAAAATGAATCCAGTCAAGATCTCTTGTGTGAAGACACCAACTCTTCTAATTTGGGGGGGTGATGTCTAGGCATGGGGTCTGGTGACATGTCCCTGGGTGTTGCCTTCAGTTGCTGAATGCCTGAACGAGGCCACCACTCTACTGCTCCCTGGCCAGCTTCCCCCACCACTGCTGGTGGCTTCCACCCTGGGGCAGCCCCAGCCCTGCTCCAGCTGAAGCCCTCTGGCTGAGGAGCCTGACAGAGCCAGCAGCAGAAAGAACTTTAATTTAAACCCAGAGGTGTCAGCTGCTGGTGGAAAGAAAACCAGTCGTGCTGGGGGGCTCTTGTTCTCCCCTTGAACTCCAGGAGCACAGATCAGAGGTTTTCACAGTGCTCCCAGCTTCTGTGCTGGCCAGAGCCTGCAGCATGAGGGGGGGACTGTTCCTCCAGCAGTGATCCCTTTTTAAACATGAACCTCATTTCTTAGACTGTACAAAGTGTTTTTAAAGAAAGAAAATAAAGTAATTTCCATTTATTGAAATAACTTGATGCTGTAAGAGGTTTCTTCCTGATCATCCACCTTCCCTCCATCCTTCTCCCTGTGTCCCCACCTTCCCTCCATCCTCCTCCCTGATCCTGGGTCTGGTCCAGCCCTCCATGGCATCCCAGGCTGCCCTTGTGCCCTGACTCCCAGGGTGGCTCCCTGAGGACAAAGGTTGAGCTTCAGCTTTGAATGACAACAAATATATTGGTCTCCAAAACTCTGCAGCAGGAAAACATCCCCCAGACAGCGGATTGTCATCCCTCAGCTTTGTCTTCTGGCTCCTCTCCTAAGAAACCATTTGTGATGTTAGAGCTGCTGTTGTGCCTCAGGGGAAAGGAAGAAGGTGTTGGAATGAATTGAAGGAAGAGCATCTTTTCCATGTCCTCAGCTGCAGATGGAGCCAGGAGCTGGCACAGGCTCCAGGCCCCGTGGGGTGGGACCTGCCCCAGCAGTGGGAGCACCTGCTGCTCCAGCAGCTCTTTGCCATGAGGTGGAAGCAATTAATCCAGAAGTATTTCAGAGGAGGCACTTGTATTTCTGGAGCTGAGCTTTCATGGAGGTGAGAGCTCCTGGGTTCCTTCCCCTCCTCCTGGGCTCCACCTTTGTCCAGTCCCTGGGCAAGTGAGACCAACCAGCAGCTGCTTGCTGCAGTGGGGAGGGAGGTGGCAGGAGCTCCTGGGTCTCGTTTCTAGCAGTGATGGGACAGTCAGGATGGGGCAGGGAACCCACACCAGGCACTGCCTGACTCCATCATCTGGTCTTCACTTCCAAAAGTGACAACTTACACTTCCAAAAGTGACAATTTACACTTCCATTCCCTATGTGATTTCATAGCCCCTCAGACACTGAGGGGCTGGAGTGTGGCCTCCAGAGGACAACGAAGCTGGGGAAGGGTCTAGAGCACAAATCTGGTGAGGAGCAGCTGAGGGAGCTGGGGGTGCTGAGCCTGGAGCTAAGGAGGCTCAGGGGAGACCTTCTGGCTCTGCACAGCTCCTGACAGGAGGTTGAGGCCAAGCAGGGGTTGGCCTCTTCTCCCAAGGAACAAGTTGTAGGATGAGAGGAAATGGCCTCTGGTTGTGTGTTTTCAGATTCTTCCCCATCTCATTTCAGGGTGGGCTCAAGCCTGTCAGGGTGGGTGGGTGCTTGTGGTGTCCTGGCTGTGGGAATGCAGAGCAGGGGACAGCCCTGGCTCCCCCACTGCCCTGTGACTGGTGGCATCTAGACAAAAAAAAACCTCCTCAGGCTAGATGAAAGTCAATGAGAGGACTTGGAAGAAATCAAGTGAAAAACAAAACTTGAAAGAGTTCAGAACAGCAGCAAGTGCTTGGAAAAAAAAAATGTGCTGAAGTGCTGCTGGGAGAAATCCTCCCAAACGTGGTGCTGGTTTTTCCTCTGATGGAGCCTGGCTTGCCTAAGCACGAGCCAGTTCAGCTCCCTAACCCCGCTGAGGACCAGTCCCTTGTTTGCAGGGTGGTTTGGAAGCCACTGGCCATCCCAGGCAGGTGGCTGTGGGTGACAAGGGACATGTCCATTTGTCACCAGCACCAGCTCCATCCCCTCCCTCCTGCCACTGCATCTCCTTATGCCTTCCCTGCCGCTGGGATTTTGGGGGGGCTGCTGATCATAACAAAATCCTCACCTCTGGGGCAACCATCTGGGAGTTTGAACCATGGTTGCCTCCCCAAATTCCATCCTCTTCACCAGGGGCTCAGAGCAGACTGGCTGTTTGAGTCATCTCCCTGCTAAATCCATGTTATTTGGAAAACAGCAGCCAGGGGAGGAATGATTGGCTGTTAAAGGTGGCAGCCCCCCGGGGCCGTGCCCCAGGAAATGTGAAGCTGATGTCAAGCTGTCTGCAGCCCCCAGAGCTGCTGAGCTGGGGTTGGCAACTGGTGAGTTCTCCATCGGATGGGACTGGGGGAGGACAGCAGGTGGAACCCCACTGGTGTCCCTGGCTTCTTTTCCCCTGTAATCATGAAGATGGGACCTGGCTGTGAAGTTTTGCAGTGAGATGAGCTTGTTGCAGCTTTTGCTGGTGCTACAGCCCAGCCATGAAGCTCTAGAAGGGGGGAATGATCCTGCAGGCAGCTGGTGGATCCCCAACAGCATCTCCCACCCTTGTCAGAGAGGCAGCAGAAAATTCAGCCTCTTTTTTGGATTGAGTTCTGTGGCCCTGCTCAAACCCCTCCTGGTGCAGCTGCCCAGCATGAAGATGATGGTAAAATATTGCTCTTTTCTCCATGTGCCCACTGTGTCTCTCAGACCTTGGCAACCTGGGCCAGGGACTCAGCACCCTCATCATCAAAAATTTCTTCCTTCTCTCTAGTCTGAATCTCCCTCATTTTGTTTCAAACAATCACCCCTTGTCCTGTCCCAACAGGTCCTCCTACAAAGTCCATCCCCAGCTTCCTGACAGGCCCCTTCAAGCCCTGGCAGCCCCCAGCAGGTCTCCCCAGCTGGAGCCTTCTCCTCTCAGGCTGCCCCAGCCCAACTCTCTCCTGCTGGGCTCCCAGCAGAGGGGTTCCCCCCTCGGGGCATTGCTGGGGCTCCTCTGGCCCCTCTCCAGCAGTTCCCTGCCTTAATGAGATCCTTCAACTCCTTTTTTTAATGTGAAAACAACTAATTATCAACCGTTATACAATAAATAATAAAAATCTCAACAAATATAATTACTTGTGGCTTACGATTTCTATTTACCACTTTGGGACAAGTCTGGTTTCAGATACTGCTTTCCCCTTCCCCTCAGGGGATGGGACTGACACACCTCAAGGTACTTTTTGGGTTTTGGGGAGCCAGGGACCCCCCTCCTTGCTCTTCCAGCTGTGGACAGCTCTTCCAGACATCCCTTGTTGCCTTTGATCTCTCTATGGCTGCAAGCCAGAGAAATGAAGACGCATTTTTGAACCTGGGGGTTTAACTTGGCCTTTTCTCCATTTATTTTTTCACTTCTTGCCCAGGTGCAGGCTGGGCACATAAAGCCTTAACCCATCTTCTCCATTCCTAGTTAACATCCAGCCCTCTGCCTGTGAACTGCTGCACACCAAGGTCTGTTTTCCTCCTTGGGCATGGTCAGACCTTCTCAGGAGCTGGTGGGGTGTCCATAAACACGAGCTGTGCCTGCAGTGTTGAGGTGATAGAGGTTCTGGCAGAGTTGTCCTCTCCAGCACATGGTGCCTGGGGGGTTTGCTGCACTGCTCCTTGTGTGGGAGCTAATAAATACAAAACCCCCTTGGTCCCTCTGCTTGGGATGGATGCTCTGTGGCACATTTCAGCACAACGTGGGGCTCCCAGGGGGGTTTCTGGTGTGGTTTGGTCTCCTCCACAGACCACCCCATGAGTGAGACAATGCATCCTCCACCTCTTCTGGAAATGTCCTCTCCAGCTGAACGCAGAAGGAGAAGCAGGGCTGAGCTCTGCAGGCAGGAGCTGAGGCTGCAGAACCACCACTCATAAAATACTGTTCTTTGGCAGCAGGTTTACAGCATCACAAGGAAAGCTGCTCTGAGCTCTGCTCAGCTGATGAGGGTGATGCCCAGATACCTGCCCTGCTCTGTCCCAGCATCTGCTCAGGCAAAGCTCTTGGGTTTCTTTGCACAAATAAGCTGCAAAAGCTGCTGGAC